GGACTTGATGATCTTAAATGTCTTTCATAACCGAAATGATTACATGATTCTGTGATTTTTTTTTCCCTCTATCTATTTATAAAAGAGATGAAAAGAGATTTTTTTCCTTAGATGCTTATTTGAACAGGAGGATCAGAGTGAATTTTTAAATCATTTGGTCAGCTACCACCATACCACTGAGACCTTGCTAGTTTTACCCTGACCCATGTTTAATTCTCCGAACCCTGTGTTACCCAGCTTATGGGGAAAAAGCGTTAAGGGATATAGTTCATTTTTTTCCTGCTTGAGTACTTCTGTTGCTTTTTAAACGTATCATTCATCCAGGATTTTACGTGTACACAGAACACGCAGAGCTCTACAGTTCTGACATTCTTAAAGACATTAGCAGAGATTTTTCTATTGTTTCCTCATCTGAACACATTTACTTTTCTCAGAATGACTGTTTCTGCACAGCTTTCAAGACTGATTTTTTTTAAAGTTTGTCTAAAAGCTCTAACATTTTTTTCTTATACTTAAGTGTGGTAGCTACAGCTTCCTGAGTGCTGCCATCATTTGTGTTGATATGTTGTCTTGTACAGTTCCATAAATGCTGATGCCTTGGGGACAGAGGAAAAACAATCCTTTCTCTCAGGTCTACATGCTGAAAATTTCAACTGCCACAATCCAATTATTTCCTTAGAGTGAAAAGTGTGGCCAATACCCTATTATCTTACCAACACAAAAAAATTCAGCACAGAGAGATTCAATTTGAGTACTGTCAGACACATGGGGAAGTTTAATACAAACTCTTTTCCCCTCACAGTAAAGTGAAATAACGAGCCTGTCCTTTTCTGACAGAGTCATCAAATCATCTAGAGTGGAAGTGACCTCTGGAGGCCAGCTGTTGAAATCTCTCCAAAGAGGGACTAACTTCCAATTTCTTCAGGGGCTTGTTCAACTGAGTTTTAAAAATTCCCAAAGGCAGAGATTTCACTACCTCTCTGGGCTACCTGCTCTACTCAGTGCTTTCTCACTCCTGCTGTAACACCTTCTCCTTATATCCACTCAGAATTTTCCTTGCTACAAGTTTTTCCTCTGATCCTATTGCTGTCTTCCTCCGAGTTTGGCTCCATCCTCTGCACAACTTGCTTTGGGTGGCTGCAAACAGCAATTAATTAGACAATTAGACTTCCCTAGTTTTGAGTCTGTAGCATGGCCTGAGTGTTCAGTTACCGCTTCAAAAATGTATCAAGCACAATATAACTGGCAAATAAATGACCAAAAAGCAGTATTTATTTCTGAATATCTCTCTCAGATCTCTGTTCTGCCTACCTCACCCACCAGTTATGCATACCATGGGTTCTGTCTGTCCCTTGGTCCCTGAAAGCCCCATAGATTTCTCTCCCTATTCCCCACAGTGCATGTTATACCTTAAAGCTGCACTATGTTGAATTAATCCCAGCAAAACCCAAGCCACATGTATTAATTCTTTCCTACCTTACTTCAGCTGCCACCTATCTACACATCTACTTTAAACATAATGCCAGTTATGCTACACTTCATAAAGTTCCTTAACACCAACTCAACAATATGAAGGGTCCAAGGGCATCATTCAAGGGATTATCTTGTAGCACCCTAGCACTCCCAAGGAACTTGCACCACACTAACACACTGAGTAAGCTAACAGCGATCGGCTCCCATTTGGCTTCAGACCAAACATTAGCATGCGGAAGGTTACTATCTCATTCTTTGACAAAAGCATCGCATTTGAGTCTCAAATGGAAAGAAAATTAAGTACAAGCAGGAGAAAAATAAATTCAAAGCAACTTCATTTGGGTATAAGAGAATTTGATAACTGGCAGCTCCTTCAAAGTGTGGGAGCAATTTTAATTATTTCCTGTTAAGCCTGACAGAACCCTTTCCACTTGGGCAGGCTTCAGTCCCCCATCAGCGCACACCACAACATGAGTTAATCATGTTTTTTGGAGGAAACAAAGAACAAGAAACCCCTTACTTTTGACTTGCTGTTCAGGTGCTTTGATGTGCGTCACCATCCCGGGCATGTTTACACTGTTCCTGTGCAAGTACTTCAGGAAGACATCAGCATTCCTCCGAGCCAGCGTGCAAGCCTAGAGAGTCAGCGGTGTTACTTTCTTTGAAGAAGCACACACATATATCCAGAAAGAGAAGGACCTTCCTCATTCCCTCTTGTGCACTTCCCACCCTCTCCCATTTTAAAAAGCGTTACTTGCTAAATCCTTCTACATGTAAGCCAATCAAAACACTAAAATAGTTTTCCCAACAAATAACAGTTAATCGTACTTATCTGGCAGAAAAAGAAAAAAAAAAACCCAAACAAAATGCTATTATTTTTTATCTGAAGATCCTGGAAAGCAATTACCTGCTCTAGTGCTTTCAGCATGACTCAGAGCTCACAGAGAAATTTGTTTTGTATATGTGCCATGTGCCACTTGAAGTTATTTATTGTGTAAACAGAGTGCACATGCTTATGTAATCCTCTGGATATTCCAAAATATCCACCACTGCTTTAAACAAAAAGTAAACACTCCACTGAAGTGAAACTGAAAGTGCTAAAATATTAAGACGTGCCCTTAAAATAGTAAGAGAAGGCCTCGGGAGCTTTCAGACCTTGTTCCTGTATTGCCAACCCTCAGCTCAGCTGCCTTCCTCATCTTAATGCACACGAAGTACTACATACGGGCCGGCTCCTTATTTTTAGTAAGCAGAACATGAAATGCTACTTCAAAAGCTTAGATAAAGGTAACATGGTTTGATCCCTTAACAAGAGACACTAAGTAATTTCTCAAAATGTTTTAACACGAAGACTAGAAACTCACATGCCAGCTGCAGAAAGATCTATTTGACAGTATGCTCAGAGCTACCCTAATACGTTTTTGAATGTTCTCATCTGTGAGCTGAGAACAAAAAGGCTCTTAATAAAATTAAGTTTTAAAATTGGTTACAGGGTTAGTTACACCGCTTGGCAAGCGCCCGATGCACATTTGTTTAGTACAATCAATAACCCCCTTCACCAGGGCGTTAGTCGGAACCAAAACTTTTCATTTATCTGCAGACTACTACACAAACCCAGCTCCTCCTAGACAGTTGTCTAGCAATTTCCTTCTTCCGTACTCTACTGTCGTCCAAGTACATCTGAGAGCTGCCCTGATGCACAGGCAGCAATGGCACTATGTGACTGTCACTTCTCTTCCAGACCAGCAGCCTTTAAGCCATTCTTTAGACTGACAGTTGCTCAAAGCAGTGATTCCCAGTTCCTCTCTGGTCACAGTGGGAGACCTGACATCTATTGAAGTTCAACAGGAAATATAGAACTGGCTACAATTTTATGCATTTGGCAGTATTCTCCTAATCACTGTCAGAAGCCGTTAACGTGCCATTTCCCACATCGCTACAGTTTGGGACATACCTGTAGCTTTTGAATGAGCACTGTTGCTTTCCACATACATTTCAGCACTGTAAGAGTGAGTGTTTGCCTGCAGGCTTGCCAAGACACAGAAGATCACAAAAAAAACCAAACCACCAATAGCTCACCCTACCTTTAGGAACGCCTCCTTCTGTTCCAGGTGTTTGCTTATCATGGGAGTCACATGATCTGTTTCAGAGTTAGGACCCAGTTTGTCTGCTCCCCCACACCAGTCTTCTTCTCGCTTATATTCTTGCTCCAGGCTTTCCAGCACGCTGCACACCTATCAGGAAGGAGCCCAACTCAAAATATAATTCAGTAAGACAAAAATTCCAAACTCAAGCCAAAAAAATACGAAAACCAATCTACCTCTTGCATGTGCCTTAGCTTCTGACATGCTTTGACTGGAACGCAAGAGAAGGCAGCAAACCGTGGCTGTAGCTTTGCAAGCACTGGCCTACTTACACAGAATTGCTCAGAAGGCTATCCCTGAAGTTGCTCATCTTTCTCCACCTCTGTGACTGCACAGTTCAGGATGTGCTTAAGATACGATTGCAGAGGAAGCAACCTTGCCAACTTTCCCCCTACCTCTTCTGCAGACAAGCAGGATGAAGCTGACTTTTCTGACTTGCACACAAAACCCAGAATTATCCATCTGAAGTACTTCAATTAAAACCTCTGTGTAACTTGTTTATGGTTTAAGCAAAACTTCTTGAAACAAGCAGAAATCCAACTGAACACTTGTACAGTGCTTCATCTTGAAAACGTTTTACAAGATTTTCTCAATTAAAAATAAGAAGCTGAGGAATATTATAGAAGGAGTGACAGAAGAGAGAGATGAAGGTTTGAGTCTTCACCAATAATCACTGCACTTTGGTAGTGTACCTTCCTTGGGATTTGCTAGTGGAAGCAAGTTCAGCTAGACCAATTACACTGCAGTCTCTTAGTAGTTAGCACAACTTCGCTACTAGTCATTTATCACAGACTGGTTTGGGTTGGAAGGGACCTTAAAGAGCATCTAGTTCCAACCCCCCTGCCATGGGCAGGGACACCTTCCACTAGACCAGGTTGCTCAAAGCCACATCCAGCCTGGCCTTGAACACTTCCAGGGATGGGGCATCCACAGTGTGTCTGGACAACCTGTTCCAGTGCCTCAGCGCCCTCTCTGCGAAGATTTCTTCCTTCTATCTGATCTAAATCTATCCTCTTTTCAGTCTAAAACTGCTGCCCCTTGTCCTGTCACTACAGGCCTTGGTAAAAAGTCTTTGTCTTATAAGACCATTTTATATACTAAGGGCTGCAACACATGGTTTCTCCTTCTAAGGCAGCGGGTAAGAAGAGGATTTGCTTTTTGCATTTTTTGTGTAGCTGCTGTTGTTGTCAAATTAGTAAATATAACCAAGCCTAGTCAATCTTTTTTTTTTTTTAGATAATGATGCTGTATGCCACACTGAAGAATTAACCAAGGTAGACACAGATCACATGGCATTTTTATACCTGTTCAGAAGTTTTATAGAAGGCCACAGAAGCGTTCACAAGCTTGAGACGGTCCTCCATTTTCAGCATCAGTTGTTGCCAATGGGAAGCAACCTTCTCTGCACACTCCCGGATCATATCCATGTCATAGTGATTAGCCTGCAGCATTGCCTCTGCCTTCTACTGAACCTGCAGGGCACTTTGATGTGTTTTCTGGGAAGGGGTGAAAATTCAGGAGTTCAGTGGAACACTTCAATTCATTTTCCTGAATAGCTCAAAGGCTCACATTTCCACTGTGTCACTGACAGTTCTATACACATGCACACCCATTCACTGAAAAGCACTGTCTAACATCAGTCACTGCATGACTTACGCAAATACAAAGGAAATAAATCCTGTAGAGATTTATCAAGCCAACAACAACTAGCAGTCCACAGGCAACAGCCACGGCATGGCACTAAGCCACGCACGGCCTATCTACACTGCAGTACACTTTGCCATAATTATGAATTTCAGGTTGATTATCTTTTTTTTGATGGTGAGGAAAAAAAAAAGATGGAAAGCATGCCTCTTATTTTGGCATGACTACTATTACTGTCCTCACAGCTTTACCACAGTCTTCCGCACGTTAGTAGTTAGCAAACGAAGGTGCCGGCGTGCAGAACAGAAGAACTCTCTTTTCAATCTGAGCAAATTTTTAACTGTAGTTCTCCATGTAAACACATACTTGCCTAAAATCTGGAACCTCTAACTATAATAAATATTATTATATGCAAGTACAGAATGATCCAGAAAACTCAGAATTTAAGCTTCCTAATCATCTTTCCTTAAACTGACAAAAGTCTAGAGGTTTCATGATTTTTTAAAGAGTTACCAAAGCTCTCAAAACGCGGGTACATATAGTGCTAACTGCAAAAAAAAAATCCTGAACACCCAGAGAGGAGAAAACATGTAACTCCACAGAATAGCAGGTGAAGGTGAAAAGAGTTACTATACAACAGACTACTTCTAAAAATAGTTTTCCTAAACAATCATAACCTTGGTTAATTTTTCAACAACAGTGAGGTTCTTAACAAGACTTGTGCTATCTACAGTATCACCCCAAGACCCTCAATCATACATATAATTTAATAATACTGCATTCCAGTCAATTTTAAGACCTCTGCCTCTTTTTTGCATGGCTATGACCAATCTGATAAGTTTAGATTGAAATCATGGCAGGAGGATGGACACACCACCACACCAATTTTCAGTGAAACTTGCGGGCAAACAAAACCAGAAACGTTAAAATGATCATCTGACAGTAGACAAACCCGATGTTTGCTGCTCCATTTATTCTTAACTTGAACAATTAGCATTATATTCTTGTACTCTTAACAAGGGAAACCCCATTTTTGGTAAAATTGCTATGAACAGACTTGCTTAATTTATTATAATTTTTTTAATTCCTCTCCAATCAAAAACTGGCTACTGCTTTACAAAGATGCAAACAGGCACTGATATGATGTGTTCACCTGGAATTGCAGCTCCAATATGAACAAGAACAAAAAATCCACCTTTCCAGTAAGTGTGTTTATCTCTCTGCCATATGACTTCAGCAGCTATTCCCAATGTCAAAATGTCGTAGCGTTAACCCAGCAGTGTGAAAAGGGACAGGAGAGATGTATCTCCTTACTGCAGTGCGATTTACAGAGACTCATAAGCTACGCTCACTGACATGAAGCTCTTACCTCTATGGCATGTTGAAACTGCTCATGTTCCCTCTGTAACTGTTCTGCCTCCTGCAACGAGCTGGCAGTGATAAGCCCAGCATTTAACATTGACTCCCCATTTCGGATCCAGCCCAAAACCTATAGCAAAAGAGAAGACCATGAAATATGCAATTCCACTGCCAACCAGCAAGAAAAGCGTCACTGCTACAGACAAAAGCGTTTACGGTCACACGCAGCACTGGAATTGACGATTAATTGATTAGCTAATTATGTATCTCAGTGAACGATATAGTCAATAAACACAGTGAATGACATTCACTATAATTCCACTTGGCTGACAACTTCTGTCTTCCAGTCAACTACTACATGTTTGTGGTTCCAGTTTATACTCTAAACAAGGCTGTGTTTTTGACTACCACTTCTGTCACCTGGAAAACAGGAACAAGTTACAAACAGTATTATTTGCCTAAGAGCAAGTGTCAGTAATGGAAATTGAGGACATGCAGCTTAGAAAAAATAAGCAAATAATTTTTAATATTAATGTTGAGAAAAACATGATCACGTGTCTTCCAATTGCTTTAAGAGTTTTTGTTTTCAGGATATGCCTTCTCTGACATGTCCACTGAAAACAGAAAGATCCTTGGGTGGGGAGAAACCTCAGGAGGCCACCCAGTGCGTTCCTTATCACCATCAGGAACATCCAACCTCAAAGACCCTCCCCCAAAAGATCTGTGCCGTGTTCATGACTCCAATAACGGACATCCCACACTCTCACCAGACATTTTTATCACCATAAGACTTCTTTCTGACATCCAACACTTACATGTGTCTCACTTCAATTTCAACTCATTTTGGTTTTCCTACCCATAACAGGCAAAAAAAACCCCAACCCAACCTTTTTCTCCCTTTTAAAAACTCCTCTTCCCCTCAAGACCACTACTCCATACCCTCCTCTAGGCTCCTCTTCTCTTACTGACCCCAGTCTCTTCAGCCTCTCCCACATGAAATTAGCCACCTGATTTTTCTCACTGCTCTTTTACAAGCTCTCTCCAGTTGATAATGAACACTTCGATCAAAATCTTTCAAATATTGAGTGAAGCTGGGCATAATTTGGGTTATTCATTGTCATCTGTACAACTCTGCTATGGAATTGCTGTCCAGCCAGCAATTACCCCTGTGCTGTATTTGTTCAGCTGATTATTCCTGCCAGTACATCATGCTCTGTATTTGTCACTAATGAAATCCACATCCCTCTTGCAGCAAAATTCTCCCATACATTGAGATCACTTGGAACTGCAATCCAGTGTCTTCTGATGAACACAAATCCCTTTTCCTGCTTCATCTGCCTGTATCTTCAAATTTAAAAACATAGCGTCTACTCTAACATGTAGATTTTCTGACTGAAAACATGAACTAGTATCCAAATACAAATAGACTTCTACAGATTTTTTATTTTAAACATTTTGAAATCTCTTTTCCAATCCAGTGAGTCTCTTAACTTCTGTTACTGAGTATGGCTGTCCAGCAACTTATCATTTATGGTCATGTAGTTTCACGTGACATTCTCATAGTAAGCTCTGGCCAGACAGACTGAATGATTTTAAAAGCTTTAATAGAAGGATCTAGGTCATCTGCCTTTTCACCTCTACCCAGGTAGACTACTTGTTTCAATATATTTTCTGGGAATTATGTTCCAGCTCACCTATAATCCTACCCTAGCTAATCCTTGCCCACTTCTGAGAAGTAGATGTTGAATTCCAAACCTCCAGAATCTCATCCAACCTCCATATAAGCATTAATGTCTATGACATTATTTCAGACAGTTTTCTAGGGTGAATTTATTTGGGCCCAGTTGATTTGAAAATAATGCGTTTAAGCATACTTTCTCTAACCTTTTCTTACAAATTGATTTTACACCTTTAGCCACTGGTAATAATTATATTAGCTACCAAATCACTGTTAGTTCTTAACACTAAATACCCTCATCTAGTGACCCACACGTGACACTACTATTAATGCTACTGTGTCACATTATTACTAAGTGAATCAGGATGACAGGACCATAATTACAGACTGAAAATATGGATGGAAACCAGGCAAAGGCCCTATTAAAACACAAGTCCTTAAAAACAAAGGTACATGTGGTCTTCATCCAAAGTACGCTCTAACATGTCTTTAACAGCTTGAAGCAACAGGTCTAGACATCTTGACACAACATCCATGCCCTCAAATCTGCATTCCAATCTCACCTTTGACCTTATGTTTATTCAGACTGCAGTGCTGTTGTATTAGTAATGCAGCTTTCCCCCCCGCCGCCTGTGCAACGAATCAAACAAGTTTCTTTCCCCTGATAGTGCGTACTTGAATTCTTTTATACAAAACCTGCAGGTCTGTGGAAAAGAATACATCTGCAGTGTGGATGTGGGACATGCCAGCAGCTCCCAGATGTATGCCTGGGTGCGCATACTACTCCTCTGGGGAAAAAACACTGGGTCAGATGGAGCCCTGCTGGGGACGGGAGACGGCTCTGGCCTTGGAACAAGCTCTCCTACTGCAAGGAGACTCTTCCAGATCACAGTGTGGGGCAGGCAAAAGGGACCATTAACTAAGCTGCAAGTCTTGAGGCTGTTAAGACACCTTGGCGTTGTTAATAATCAGAAGCAAGAAAAAGGGAAACTTCTGAGGAACCAGATGGGTCCAAAAGACTGTAGACAGAAACTATGCTTGGAGGAAAGGATTTTTCAGTAAGAACACCGGGTGGGGCGGAAGATGTTTTTAAATCCCTTTTTTATTTCTATCTTGTCTTACATACACAGTTCTAAGCTTCCTCTCTATCTTATAAGCTAATTCTTTCAGGTACAGTGTAATGAAACACACCTTCTCAGGGTTAAAATACATTTAGCTTTCTCCAGAAAATTTATACTGCAAGACAATGCTTAAGCAGCACCAATTCAAAGCTCTTTTTGGCTTGGCACCCCACCACACTCAGCAGAGACAGCTAGCACGGAACTTGCTATTTCAAACACACTGATTTGCCCTCCTGTTTGGTTCAGATTAGGGTACTAGTGCAGAAGCTGGTGGAACTCACGGAAGGAAAGTTGCCAGCAGCAGTTTCACCCTTCCCTCTGCTCTGACTTAAGAGCAAACAGCAAGCCTGTTCTTCTTCCAGGGCTTCTGCCTTCCAGTGGTTGTTGGCATGTTCCCATCACCTCACTGTTTGGGTGGACCACATACCCCATTTCTCCCCTCCCCACCTTCAGCAGGCTAGAAAAGCATCAGCAGAGCATCATCAGAAGTGCAGAAATGAAACCAAGGGTCTGGGACACTTGAAAGTGTCAAGCAGGTGGTTCTAGAGATAAATACTTGGTTTAAGATTAGATTCTTGGACCATTTTTCCTCTCTAACTACATAAGACCACAAGACACACCTGCTTCAGCCTGCTGTCCTAGCTACGTTTTCATATCCATATGGCACTGTACAGAGTGCCAGCAAGTCTTCCGGAGTAGTATTTTGGGACAATCAGAGCTCAAGCACTGGAATGTGTTTGAACCAATCTAAAAGATCCGCATGTGAGAACACAAGGCCACTCAAGGTACTCTTGAGGGTACAAGTACCTGTACACTGTTGCACAGGTATGAATATATAGGTATATATCCAAGGACACACACCATGATCAGAGCAGCAGACAGTATTGCAATGGAAAGGCTTAATGAGCGTAGTAAAAACAATGCATTTCGGAGCCCGGTAGAGATGCTGACCCAGGCAGATGCTGCATGTTACCTAAAACAAAGCATTCATTCTACGAAGTGAGTACGTGGCAGCGATCGCAGCAGTACGTAATCCACCAGCTATCTTTCAGGTGATAAAAAAGAAAAGTTTGTCTGGCCAACATGCAAGTGGAGTTCTGGATGAGACACACTCTCTTAACTACGTCTCTGCCCCTAGCCACTCATATGTCCCTGCCATGTATAAAATGGTCACATTTTCCTTTCCGGGTTGGTTTTTTCCACATATAGCTGTCCTTTCCTATTTCAGTGAGCATCCTCTTCCCCCTGTCTGCTAAGGTTTCCCAAAAAAAACTTCTGCCCTTCCTGCACCTATTGCACATCAAGCTGACAAGCAAATTATTTGCAGGTTTTCTTTAAACCTCTGTTTGTCTTCTAGCCCTTGTGCTTCCTCCTAGTCCTGAGGCTTGAGCTACAGAACTTCAATGCTACAAAGCAGAACTGGTACAGAAGTTCAGAGAGAAGCAACACTTGGTGTTTTCATCTGCTTTCTGTGCTTATTAAATAAGAATTTACTAAACTTGAAAGTTTCTCTACCTAGTGTTGAAAATACAAGTATTTGACTAAAATAACTAAGCCAGGAGACACTTTGCTGGTCTCCATCACTGTAACCTGAGAGATGAACCCTGTGGAAAAATTCCTGCAGCATTCCAGTCCAACCTTTTCACATGATTACAAGCTGTACAACTACTTATACACATAAAAGTGTATATATATACTTTTTTATATATATACACTTTATATATATACACACAGAAGTATATGTATATACTTTATATATACAAACTGCTATATTTTCATATATATATGAAGGAGACCTCATTGCAGCTTTCCAGTATCTGAAGGGGGCCTACAAGGGTACTGGGAGAGGACTTTTTAAAAGGGCCTGTAGTGACAGGACAAGGGGTAATGGGTATAAATTGAAATCAGGGAGGTTTAGATTAGATGTCAGGAAGAAATTCTTCACAGAGAGGGTGGTGAGGCACTGGAACAGGTTGCCCAGAGATGTTGTGGATGCCCCATCCCTGGATGTCTTCAAGGCCAGGCTGGATGTGGCTTTGAGCAACCTGGTCTAGTGGAAGGTGTCCCTGCCCATGGCAGGGGGGGTGGAACTAGATGGTCTTTAAGGTCCCTTCCAACCCTAACCATTCTGTGATTCTATGATTCTATATATATGAAAATACTATAGCAGTTTGGCAGAAAATTTCAAATGGAATCTTGTTAAAAACCTTGCCCTGGAGACAGTCTCCCATCTACATAGTAAGCATGCTTACACTCTGTTCATCAGCAATAAATGTAGCAACTTTGGAGTTCTCACTCACAGTCTTATGAGGAAGATGAATTTTTCTAAGAGCTCATGATGATAAGAAAAGGGACAAGTTGCACGGCGAGCCGTTATGGGATGTACTCATACAGCAGAGTCTACTAGACTTCTGTGATGCTGCCAAGCGTGAGCAAGATAAACTCTTACCTTTCTAGTGTTTTGGTTGGTTGGTTAGTAAACTTAATAGAACCACAGACTGGTTTGGGTTGGAAGGAACCTTAAAGATCATCTAGTTCCACCCCCCCTGCCATGGGCAGGGACACCTTCCACTAGACCAGGTTGCTCAAAGCCTCACCCAGCCTGGCCTTGAACACTTCCAGGGATGGGGCATCCACAGCTTCTCTGGGCAACCTGTTCCAGTGCCTCACCACCCTCTCTGTGAAGAGCTTCTTCCTGATATCTAAACCTCCCTGCTTTCAATTTCAACCCATTACCCCTTGTCCTGTCACTAGAGGGCCTTGTAAAAAGCCCCCCCCAGCTTCCTTGTAGCCCTTTCAGGTACTGGAAGGCTGCAATGAGGTCTCCGCGGAGCCTTCTCTTCTCCAGGCTGAACAAGTCCAACTCTCGCAGCCTTTCATCATAGGAGAGGTGCTCCAGCCCTCTGAGCATCTTCGTGGCCTCCTCTGGACTCGCTCCAGCCGGTCTATATCCTTCTGATATTGAGGGCTCCACAGCTGGACGCAGCACTCCAGGTGGGGTCTCACCAGAGCAGAGTAGAGGGGCAGAATCCCCTCCCTCGACCTGCTGGCCACACTTCTCCTGATACAGCCCAGGATACGGTTGGCTTAACTTCTACCTATTTCAGTGGTTTTGCCCACAGCATCTCAAATTCACCAACAGTTTAGGTGTTTATCAAATAAGTACCTCTGATATTGGCCACTTTATTGCCAGGAAAAGCCAAACCTCATTTCTTATCCCCTGGAAAGTAAACCCTGCCGATATTATGTTATCAGCATTTGAGACCTATTAAGCCAGTGTTCAGGGAATATCACTCCAATTCAAAGTCCCTCCCCCCTCCAAATGGAAGCCGTAATTCAGCAGAAGTGAATTCTACCCCTCTTTATGGGAGGGACGGCGCCAAGAAGTGTGGGTCAGCTCCAGGGGGTCTCGGGGGGGGACCGCAGCCCTCAGGTACCTGCTTGACTTCGGCCTGCAGGTGGCGCAGCTGGACGCACTGCTCCAGGTGCTTGCGGTGCTGCTCCGCCGCCACGTCCAGCTCCTGCTGTTTTTCGTGCAGGAACTCCAGCAGGTCCTGGACACGGGTGGCCATGTCTACGTCTCTGTCACAAAGCAGCTCAACACCTGCAAGCAGACAGGCGTTGAAGGCTGACTTAGGGAATCGCAGGATTGCACAAAACTTCTGAAGACAAACAGCCCGTTTCCACGGTTTTACACTTACTCTTCCCGTTCCTTCTCCAAGTTCAACTCGATCCTCAGAGCATTTGCTTGAATGAGCAAAGGTTTTTGCATTCTAAAAACGCAATTTAACTTTTTCTTTTTTTTAAAGAAGCCCAAGATTTACCCTAAGGTAACCGTACACACTTTAAACCATCTAGTAAAGTGGCATAAGAAACAAAAAAAGGGTGACTTGAAAGGTGAAAATCTTGGCTTGGCTGCATTGTTCCAATTAAATAGAATTAACTCCTTGATATTTACTCTAATTATACTGACTTCCTAAGTGGAATCCTTTTCTTCAAAACCTAAACATCTTCAGGTGTTGCCAGCTCTTAGATAAAAATTACACGCCATAACAACAGCGTATTATTACAAACACTATCAAATTATAGAAGTATAAAGGGAAAAAAAAGGTCCACGTCTCCAGTTCAGAGTAAACCACCATCTCTGCCATTTTCACACGTCCCGTGGAGAGACAACTGGCTAATTTTTACAAAGCCACCGCCCGTAACAGCACGAAGCAGCCATCTTACCAGATGCCTGCACTTCATTGACATACTGCAGCAGATCCTGCCCTTGGTGGATGACATCGAAGGTCAAGTTATTCATCGTCAGGGCTTTGTCTGCATGATGCTGGAGCCTCTGTTCAGCTATTGTGAGATCTTCAGTGTCAAAGTCATTCATCTGCTGAGAAAGCTCATCATTCCAAGACTCCAGATCTGAAATTATCTGGTGGGAAAAAGAAGGAAGACAATGTTCAATTACCCATTACACAACGAATGTTTATTCCCAATGTTGTTCTTATGATGGAGGTCACGGACTTGAATTTCTTCTTGTTGATGGATGTTAAATTTCAGCAAACAATTTGGAAGAATCTCTTTGGGAACCACTACAGCTCTCTCTCCTTCAATCAGCGCTTGCAATACTGTGGGTACCCTTGCCTTCTTTAGGGTCCTCCTTCATCAACACATCACTTGTGAAACAGAGGAATTTAAAATGTTTTTATCACCACTTTTAAAGGAAAATGATCTAAAATGTCTTCTCAGGTCTTCAGTCTGCACCAAGTAATAATTCACACGTCAAGAGCCTGGCGAGCTTTCAATTATGCCAGTCTTGAGCTCTTTTACCCAAGCCAGCTCTACTTTTCTGTGATCAGGAAGCACCAGGCTCTGTGAGCACCTCTGACTTCTGCCAGACCACTGAGAAGCACTACTTGTCACAAAAGGCAGGGTACTTACTGAATAGAGCAAATCCGAAAAATATTACTTTATTACAGAATTACGGTAATGTCAGAGCTAAATTTGCTTGCTGAAATAATTCAGCTACATTTCAGTTTCCACTTCAATTCTGGATTTTATTCTCAGTCATTAGATGTCCAAGGAAGAGAAGCTAATGAAGTATTTTTTAAACACATAACAGCAAGTGGTCCTCGTCAGTTCACACAAGTGCATTTTCCAAATCATACAGCAAAATCTGGCTGAAACGTAAAATATTCCTTTTTATTAATATACAAAACTGTTCGTACATCTAACACATAATGCTTAAAACCTCACTGGTCAAAACAGGTGGAGTTCTTATGGCACAGGTTTGATGTATCAGTTACTTTAAACAAGCCTGACACACTTAATCCTTCAAGCCTGTAATCAATCTTCTTTTTTTTCCTAAATTTTCAGCAGAGTTTTGCCACAAACAACTGCAGTTCATTGGGAAAGCAAAATTATAGATATCAAGAACAAAATATGGCTTTGGTCCAGAGTTCCACCATTTCACGAGTAGAACAAACTGATGTGAGTGGTGCTAAATGACAGGAAAACACCTATTTATGTAGCCAGACGCAGCAAAAAGATGATCTGATTAAAACGGCATTAGCAACAAAGTGGTTGACTGCATAATTATTTAACTAAAGTAATTTGTCCTCAGCAAAAGGAATATGCCACTACGCTTCCCAGGTGGTTAATCAGAGCTGTGAAGTTACTGAGACAGCTAAACTACAAGAGAAATTCCAGGAAAACAAGCCCTGTAGAAAAAACAGAGTTGAGGGGAAAGCAAAGTTAAATCATCAGTATAAAGTTTCTGTAGTCAGCTACAATCTTTTTTGAAGGTTTGTTTACATTCTGCTCACATGGCACCAAAAAAATGGGCACATCAAGCAATTCTTTTTAAAATTGTGGCATCAGTGAGTTTACTTCCTGTTTCAAAGGTGTTCCGTAAAAATTTTACTCGATTCACTAAATATTCAAGTTTTTCATCTCCTATCATACCATGATAGGAGATACCAAACAATTAGGGTAGGTACTTTGCAATCCCTAATCCTTATGAGACAGCTCTACCCAAGTGAAAACTCATGTTTCAGAGGTTAACGCTGAAAACAGAAAAGCTGATGGACAAGGGATGCAGGAAGATATACAGAACAAGGCTGTCGGCCACTGCTTAAAGCTTCTCTCTTCTGTGTGCTCTAGACACCCCACAACATATGAGTAGTTTCCTCTCAACACACACACAGGCTTCCCCTCCCACAAAATCCTTCAGAACTTCCTTTTATTTCCATTTTACTCAGTCCATGCCCAGCATGTCTCATCACCCCTCTCTGTCACTCGTCGCCCTCTAACTAAAATGATCTAAAATAGAATCATAGACTGGTTTGGGTTGGAAGGGACCTTAAAGACCATCTAGTTCCAACCCCCCTGCCATGGGCAGGGACACCTTCCACTAGAACGTCACAAATATCAAGTCTTGGTGACAGTCCAGCCTGAGAAACTGCTTACGTCCAGCTAACCTCCTTTTCTGATCCCGAGTACCTCACACCTGCTCTTCCCAGCTGGTCGTCAAAACCCTGTGGACATTCACTACTACAAGCACTGGAAGTCACCTAATGGTTGTTTCTTCACACTACCCGCTGCACTACGGAAGCTCACACAGATCAGATTTACCATCCAGTTCAGTTAACGCAAATGCTGTTCTCAAGAAGAAACTGTGGTTAGATTTGGTCAAACTGAAAAATCTGAGCATTAAAGGAGGTTATGAAACTCCGCCACTAAAACATCATTTTTCGCTACCTTTCTAAACACCATTAAAAAGTGATTTAAGGTTTAACGTGGCACATTTGTGCCACTATAAAAACTTTATAAAAACGAAGCCAGAACACCTCCCTTCAGAAGCAGATGCCAAAGCCTTACCTCTCTCACTGTCGACTGGAAATAAGTAATGAACACCATAAGCTCACAATGGGAGATTGCTGTGGCTGTCAGTACTTTTACAATAACGGGAAAACAGAAGGTTCAGCCTGCCCATGAGGAAACCCTTCTTCCCTGTGAGGGTGACAGAGCCCTGGGACAGGCTGCCCAGAGAGGGGGTGGAGTCTCCTTCCCTGGAGACTTCCCAAAGCCCCTGGGCTTGTTCCTGTGTGATCTACTCTAGGTGATCCTGCTCTGGTGGGGGGGTTGGACTAGATCATCTCTAGAGGTCCCTTCCAACCCCTTCCGCTCTGTGAATCTGGGAATGGCTTAAGTAGTCACTGCGTACTCTAAGAATGTCCTGCGATTCACTGTACCCGATGTGGTAGCCCGAAGAGGTCAACACCATGTGTCACCTCAGCCAAGAGGTTTCAGTGACACTGCCTCCAAAGAACAACAAACAACAACAAACAGCAGCAGTAATTGTAACTTCTTCCCACGTTACTTCATGCAACCCTGAAGTGAAGATCATGGCCCACACATTGTTTAAAGCAGTCTGAAACATTCTGCACAAAGGCAAGACATTCCCTGTCCCTTTCAAAAGGCCAGGAAGCCCATGATTCAAATAAATAAATAATGCCAGCATGGTCCCACATTCATTCAAAAGATAAGAAGTCAGTCCACATCACAGCTGGGGTTCCTACCAAGGGCAGTAATCCCTACATTTTTCCAACAGTAGCAGGGTGGCTCAAGGCAATCTGTTTCAGCCACTACACCCACCACGCAAATCTGAAACGCACCAAGGGCAGAGTTAAAGCAAAAATAACATGCATTAAGCACCCTCTGCCCACCCTCTTTCAGGGCTTCTCTGAACTTCTGCTTCACAAGCCACACTTCTAGTGAGCAGGCTCCTGTTCTGGTTTTAAAGTTGTGTCAAGACAATTGGCTTGCAACAAACAGAACAAAGACGCACGACTGATAGACAGCTGAAGTGACTGAATCACAAATTAATACCGCTTCTCAGGAAATGGACAACCCAGAACAAACACAGGGTAACTACTTACCACAGCACATGTTCAGAAGTTCCTAGTGCAGAGTCTGAGCTGCCTGACATTCCTGAGTTTTAACAGACCTAAAGGTAACACTGACTGGACACAAGGCAGGGTCTAACAGAGAAGGGATGACGACCCTTTCATGCTGAGTGGGAAAGAAATAAGCATGGGTCTCTTCTCAGAAGGGTCTAACTAACATTCCTTGTACCAACTGAGTGCTAACCAGGACCTGGAAGATATTATGTGCTGGGGAGAAAGAAAAGAAAAGATGGGAAAGGGAGAAGAGTTAGGTCTCTGTGATCCAGCGCTTTGCATCCTTGCCTTTTCAGCTGTATGACTTAACAGGCATCTTGTAAGTATGGTCCAAAAATAGAGTCGAGATAAAGCTGGGAGTTGAAAAGTGTGTGGTATGCATTGTGTGGAGCCCTGACACAGGTCTAGAGGCACTTAAGTTACAGACAAGCAAAAACGCACAGACACTTCAGGCTGCATATACCACCACCAATGTTAACTTCCTCTGGCTAGGTCCTTACACATCTTCCTTATGCTGCTAATCACCCTAGCAAGGGACTCTCCGTGTACCTTGTGCTCCTTCTGGCCTTCAGTCAATACAGGCGTTCACAACTGGGCCCTTCAAATAGCTCGCATCAATGGCACTTAAAGCCCTACCCGAGGACAGAGAATGTGAAGTTTCTATGCCAAGAGCAAGGGGCACAACAGACAGTGCTACAGTTACAGCAATTTCAGAAGAGCAGGAGGATCTGAAAAGTCGCAGGAAAAAAAGATAGCAACTAAAAGAAAGTATTTTGCCAGTGAGTAAAAAGGAAAGAGTAAGGACAAGAAGAGGAGGACCAACCCTGCCAGCAAATCTCACCACTGCCCCAGAAGCACAGCTGCAGGGTGTGATCCTGCAGTGCTAAAGGAGCCCTTGGTCTTGTTTTAGCCTGTGTTATTTTGCAAACAGTTAAGATAAGCTAGAAACACTACTTGCCTTCCAGAAAAACTGTTCTCACAGGATGCTCCCTGAACAAACTGCCCCTACAGCCAAGACTTAATTGACTGGGCCAGTCACACCAAATCCGGGACAAAGGAGGAGGTCAAAACAAGGTCTGCAAGTTCCTAGCTGGCATCTGGCTCCTCCTCACTACCACTTTTCTTCAGCTGAGATTCTGCTTTCAAGTAACTGACCTGGAACTAGTCCCCACATTTTCTTCCCGGAAGTTTCCAAACAGATGTCTGCCTTCAGGGAGAGGGAAAAGAGAAGCACGCTTTGCTGAGGAAGCAGAGAGAGGAGATGGTACACAGACAGCAGAGCAATCACATCAACATTTTGCTGAAGACACGCTGCAACCAGGGTCTTTTTGTTCCCTGGAGGGCTCCTTGGCAATCCTAAATAAGCATGATTTTTGTTTCCAAGCCACAGAAACAAAATACACCAGCTCTTTCAACAAGGTAATTGGTACTTTGCTTTATGTTTTATGTGCCAAAATATAAAGCGTGCCAAGTATCAGCTTCAGAAAAAGCAATACTTGTCAAGTTCAGGTATGTGGCTTTTCACTGCAAAATCCTAGAGCCATCACCAAACAACATACACAGAAGTACTACTACCTATGCAGATGCCATCCTATTCTGAAGGGCTAGAACACATCTTCAAGGCAGGGCTCCTGCAACCAGCCTTCTGCTATTGCAGAATACTGGTTTGGGCAACCTACAGAGGAGAGTAATCACCTTAATCACAAACTTCACTCAAACCTTTAACCTAATTCTTCCATTAATTTTCTTGGTATATTCCTTGTCTCTCGCAGTTACCATTTCCTAAATAAAAGTGTTCTGGGAACAGCACACAGACCCCATGGAGCACTGCAGATCACTTCTGCAGAGACTGAAAATTGCTGAAAATCCTATAAAAAGGGCTATCTTCTATGTTCTTCCATGTATACCAGCCATCTAACTAATTACTACAATCACAATTCCGTCAAGCCATTCCCTTGCACACTCAAGACAGCTACTCTCACATAATCAAAGAAGCAAACTCCCTGCAGACTAGTTTCACCTTCTCAGTCTGAGTTCCAAAACAGAGAACCTTCCTGGTCTTCCTTTGCCCCAGAGTTGTTATTACTGTAGAGCACACACTCTCACTTCCTCTATGGGCACAGATCAAGGAACTCTGTCTGCCTATCCTGCACTGCTCCTAACAATGTGCTGACCTAAACCAGACTTCAGCAATGGTAACTAATCCTGCTTTTAAGAAAAAAAACACCAAACAGAGAAGGAATCACTTTTGCTGACTGCCTCTTTGCCCTTACAACATTTGTACTTAACCAACAGTTGCAGCTTTTACTAGGTGCAAGCCAAGGGGTAAAATTATCCCTGTAACTCCTGGTTTCCATATTCTCAAGATTAGCCATTTATATACTCAAACAGGATCATTTACCGATGGATAACCCTGAACCTCCTGAGGTTTCGGGTTTCCAACTCAGTTTCGGTTACTGTGTACAGTGTTACTGGTTTTACCAAGTCATGTGATCAACATAGCTGAAGCTTTATAACGCAACTCTATTAACCTAAGCTCCAGGTGGCATTTCATGCCTGTTTGCATGCACGTCCCTGCACACAAATAGTAACTTTCCAACTGATAAGCTGTAACCCTCCTCCAAGATTTGGATAATCTCCATATTTCTGTAAGTTCAGCAGAAGTAGGGCACTACAACTGCTTTTGCATTATTTTCAGAGGTGGAGAAGAATCTTATTTAAAAATAAACAGACAGACAGCCCATATGACATCCCTGAAGACGAAGACAGAATTCTAAACACTACTTGTAGCTGTCAACTGAAGACAGCTAGACCACTGAAAAGAAAGAAGAGGGGTGTTACTACAAAACAACAGTTTAGAGGGTTTGTGCTAAACCATCTTACCAGCCTTATTCACATGAACTGCAAACATACTAGTTATATCAAGGTAGCTTGATATTCAAACCAAACCTACCAGATGAAGCAACAGTTATGACTTTATAAAACACTTGCTTAAAGATGCACCGGGAGCCAACGAGAGCTGGAGTTAATAACAAGCAGCTCAGCTCTGCACTCTCCTGACACTTTCCCATACAAGACAAAAACCTTAGTTCAGGGAAGAACTAAGTCTATCAGTCCCTTGAGCCACATGCCAATGCAACTGCACAACGATCTCAGCATAAATGTTCCTGTGTGAGAGGAGAAGTAAGTGCAGTGCAACTCCAAGAGCAGACACTCACATCTATTGCATCTCTTTCAAATATGCGGAGCTGCAGAAACAGCTCAAGCTTGATCTTGCGTTCTTGAAAAAGCTCCTCCATTTGAGACTGGGCTTCATCCAGCTGCTGCAGGACTGTCTCTATGTGGTTGATTGAGCTGTTATGCGGGGTCTTGTTACTAGAAATGGCAGAATCCCTATTCAAAGCAGAGAGGGGGGGAAAAGGAAGAAAAACAATTAGTATTATTGAAAAAATTCATGTAATTTGGAAGCTACACATGACCACAAAATGCAAAGATTTCAGATACGGTCAGTGCAAGTCATATTACATGAAAAGTAAGTCTGTACGTCTTTGTCCAAATTATGTTTTAGTCCTTGAAAAGCATTAGGAAATTAGATTACTTTCATTTTTTTTACTAATCCAACATTTAATGACATTTTGTTTACAGAAGAATAAAATTTAAAACCAGAGGCAAACCCTCATATTGTGAAAAGGAAGTGGCATATAGTAACTATTTACTTTACTGAACCTTCTCAGCAGTGAGAAAACTCAAAATTATATCATAATAAATTAAAATGACTTAATCTTTTATTTTAGTGTAAAACCTGCAAATTCAGATACAATATCAGCTCCTGCAGCAAAAGGTACATGTACCAGTGCAGCTGGGGCTCAAATTTATTTGATTGTTACTGAATGAAATGGACTGCAAACTGATGGTCTTTACTACAACAAAGTTACTTACCAGACTGCAAACCAATTTCAAGTGTCGCTTTATAAAAAGGCTGCCTCTAAGAACTCAAAACTCTGGGGAGCCCTGCATGTCAGCCTACAAAGACATATGACTGCTCCTATCACAGAAGTAGCTTATGTAAACAAACTCTCCTCCTTGTGGAGGTAGTGTTTATAAGCTGAGCTTCCTGTAAACAGGGGGTTAGAGACCATCAATACAGCATCTGCAGTCCTAATATTTACAAGTTTTATTTATAGGTCAGATCTTGTAGTCATCATCTCTACCCTCCAAACAGAAAGAGCTTCACGGAGTATCAGACGTACACCAGAAGAGGTTTAAATAAAAATTTGTTTTACCTTAGTTGCTGTATAAGATCTTCGCCTTCTTTTATGACATTGACTGTAACCTGCAGAGTGGTTTGTTGTTGTTGACCAAAACGTTTAATTAGGTCTTGGACAGCCTCCACAGACTCAGCATAGACATCATCAAGCAGTTCTTTCTGTAACTCTTCAAGCCATGTCCACAGCTAAAGGAGAGAGGGGGGAAAAAAAAAAAAGTAAGAAGCATAAGCTCCATGATCAGGCAGTCACTATTCCAAATCCATGTCCCTGGACAAGAGAAAACAGATTGAGGTTGGGGGGGAGAAACAGGATTTGTTTCTCTTCATAGAAAAACGCCATCCTCGATTTAATAAAAAAGCGCCTTAGACTCAAATAAGGTTTTTGCTTCTTGGAAATACCAGGAAAGCTCTATCCGTGTTGCTAAGTCACCCTTTTTTCCCTATTTTCCTTCTACAGTACTGAGCGTATCCGATTGAGCAGCACCGAGTTCATAGCGAGAATCCCATCTGCAGCTCTGCGAGAGAGTCCCTGGGAGGGAAATGCTATGGTAACACTCCCTGAGAGAAGGGAGGAAGGAAGGAAGGAAGGAAGGGAGATGTATTGTAGCCACCATCAAATTTACACTGCCAGGCTGACACATGCACGCAGATTAGAACACTTTCCAGTGGCCTTCACAAAAAAGAAAAAAGGGCATTTCAGAAAACGAAACAGAGAGAGAAATCAGATGCGAGAAGTTAGTTTTCTATCACCACCTCTACAGCTAAAGGGTTTACCCTCTTGATCTCAATTTTGCACTGTTACAACACAAATCATCAGAAGTAATTCCAACAGTTAATTCAATGCCTCTGTGTGTGTGTCCCGCTTAACGTGTGCGTGTCTTCCTGTTCCGAGCTGCCCGCGCACCGCTGCTTACGGAAACACCTCCAGGTACGCGCCAGCTAGGTATCGCTGCTGGGCGCTTGAATCCTACTGTGCTCTTCTCCACGAGCTCACGAGGGAAGCCGTTGCGTCCTAAACCATGTGAAAATTATTCCTCAACAAACCATCGGCCATCTATTGTGCCACTGATAAAAACACTGCCGGGAGGGAGGGAGCATGGCCGGCTCCTGCAGCGCTCCTCTGAGCAGCGCAGGGCGCGCAAGGAAACTGCTATTCACAGGAAGCAGCCAAACCGGGTCCCTCCTTTCTCTTTTACCACCACATCCCAAGCCCTGCGATTCCAAGAACATGGATTAAAGTTTGGGTTTTATCCTGAAAGTTTGGGTTTTTATCCTAACTCTGTTCCGATTGACAATATTAAGGGTCTTTCGACAGCATTTTAATCTCTGTCTTTACACATAGATTTCAGAGATGCAAATAGGCTTTATTAACTGTGAACCTAGTAAAAAGGTTAACGTAGTTAAAATACAGACAGTAAGCAATCGAAACTGGCTTAAATTTCAAGACAGAAAACCAAGTTTTTTATTTCTTTGCTTAACATTTTCTGCAGAAGTACCCACTTCATGCTGCTGTTTGTATAATGTTCTGATCATAAAGGTCTCCTAACTACATTAAAATAGAACACTCAGTGAAGGATTCTACATTTTGATTAATCAGTTCTCCTTTGAAGCTTTATTTTAAAACCAAATGCTAGTTTTTATATCTTGGAATCTTATATGCTTCCTGAGGAAGGTTTTGAGTTAACCAAGCCATAAGCTAAATTTTCGTAATTGGCAAGAATTAATGACATTTAACCAGACTCTTTTCTACAAATCCACTACTTCTCCCTCCCCCCCAAACGGAACTGCCTATTCATACACACTGTGTTATTCTGACTACACTCACATGCCCCAAAGACAATGCCTGTCATGGATTTGAATGCAACTCCATAGCCATAAACACCACAAGCTCAAGCCACCGCAGTCTTTCTTATTAAAAGGAACACAAATCAATGAAACTTAGCAAGTGGGTGAAAAGCACTTGTCAACATTCACTCCAGCATAACGCAAGGCAGCATCCAAATTTTTTCTTATTTTTCCAAATGCATACTTCGGAATGCAAATATCACTTGGAGACGAAACTTAAGAGCAAGAATTCTGACAATACAATCTGAAAGCTTTACTCAGGTTTCAAGTCCCATTTCTCTCTCAGCTACTGAAGCTCCTGCCTGACCTGTAATAGGACACTGTGTTAGAGACCCTCCAAGTGAGCTGGTAGGTACACGCAAACCGCGCAGCTCGCAACTGTGAAAATATATTCGGTTGAGAGCAATGCTTTGCTGCTGACTGCAGATCTCCAGTTTGGTGCTAGCTGGAAGAGCTCTACTTCATATTTACTGCACTGTCTACAAAAGGCCAACTTTTCAGAGACGTTTATTACAGACCGACTGGAATTAAAGCCATATTGAGTCTCTTGGACTGTACCAAATTTGCCCCTTGGCTCCCATACCAGCACCTGCACTGTGGCTCAAGGCAGGTCTAAGAACCACTTCAATTGTTTCCAACACATTTTTTACAGCTGAGTTGTGTCACACTCGTACAAGGGACACCTCACCTCTGCAATCCTTCACACACGCTTCAGCCACTTCTGTAACTGGGCAGAGAGGACGTGGCCAGCGCAACAAAAACTTCTATGCGTCGTGCTGGTGATGTACTGCACAGGCAAGTATTTCCCTTAAATTTCACTGTGGGTGCTGGAGACCAAGCAGACCTTTCCCTTTGCACGGCCAATTCAAAGCCACACCACTTGCCTGGAGCAGAACAACATGGGCACTAGCACAACAGCGTTACTGCCGACTGGCTTAGCGCCCGGCCAGCACGGCATGACTGTAAACACGCCGTCTTGCCCCTGAGGTACCAAAGGGCTCAAAAATACACTGTGCTTGCCTAGCTCATTAGCTGAATCACCCACTGCTTGGGAAGGGGAAACATTTTACGAATGTGCAGAAAGAACGACAGTAATTAGTATGCATTACTTGTCTAGCTGTGATTCATATGCTGTTGAAAGTGGAACAATTTAAGCCATTTCTGAAGTGACTGAACAGCTCTGTGACACTTCCATAGCAAAAGTTACTCTAATACATTACAAATAAGCTTTTTACACTTCTCTGCTAAGTAAGTTTTTGACAATCAGCTTCCCCTTAAAATACTCCTGATGTTTATACACAGAAGTTAGAATAAAGCCAACACAGATGAACAAAGCTGCCAGGTTATCAAAGCTGGATAGAAATTCATGCAATTTACTGAGAGAAGCTTAATTCATAATGGGTCTCAGTACCCAGCTGGCTTCTGTACGGCTTTAAAACCAGAACGAGCACTGGATATACTGGGAATTACATAAATTACCTTGTTTTCAGAGAGAAAACTAAGGATGAAGACAGTACAAGGTTGCACGGCACAGCCAAAAGAAAGCTGACAGTTTACAGCGGGGGGTGAATGGAGACTGGAGCTTACCCATACACGTTCAGGAGCGCAGAACTACAGATTTTATAGCGTAATGATTTTCTCAGATAACGCATTATTCCGTAAAAGAGATCTTGGCAACAAAAATCCCACAGGGAAAAAAACCCCAACAAACTCGTCATTAAAAAACTATTAACTTTCTCTCAGTGTGAACTTTGGAGCAACTTCCAGGCATGTTTTTCTCTATTCTCTGTAAAAGAAGTAGCACGAAGATCCTTAAACAAATGACGGAGTCCTGTGACCTCAGTAAGAACTTTATCCAGCAGCAACACAGCTCTAACGTACAGTGAAAAAACTGCATAAATAACTCAGCCCAGTCACAGAAGGAGGCTCTTCTCTTTTCATCTGCTCTTCACATCTTATCAGAATTAAAATTGGAGAAGGAAATCAAATTCTGAATCCCTGACAGGCAAATGTTTCACCCAGCAGTCTCGTTTTCTTGATCTAAATATAGCACAGACTAAGAAACATCTGCCTGAATGAGCCTGCATCCTGTGCTACCTCTTTACTAAGTTCTTGGGAGCATGCCATTAGTCACTGAGACGGTATTATTTTAATTGTCTGCAACATCCTGGAAGTTTCAGTGTTTCCATCATGGGCCTCTATCCATTTAAGTCCCATCTCTGCAATCTCCCGAAAGACTGCAACTAAGTAAGACCTTACAGTATTTTGCCAAATATAATCGGAGAACAGTTATTTTCCCAAGTGTGGGCAACATAGAAAAGGAAGTGACAGTGTCATTTTATTAAGGTAAAATATCTGTCAGTATTTCACAATTTATTTTTCATGTTTATAATAATGGCTTTTGGATATGCAGTCAGCCTTTTCAACAGGGTAAGACAGAGACACACAATTTCTGCATTTAAAAACTGCCAATTCCTCTTTTCCGCCCCCGCCCTCCCACCAGCAGCGTGTTGCAGTATGTGTGTGTATCACCACAGGCACAGCTGTTGAAGGAGCTATTATTTCTACAGAGCCAACTGTTGCAATAGTATTCCCTAACAAGTATATCTGGGCACAGAAGGGGGAACATGTATGTGTGTCCACCTGTAAGCTTTGGCTTTCAGGACATGCAGCGGAGGACAAAAACTTCATCTTTTTAAAAACAAAAAACACAAGATGTTAAATCCCCAGGAGTTTGTCTTCCAGGGCCTTTCAGTAACATTTAAGATACTAAATGCCTGCATAGGTTTTGAAAATTAGATTTCATTTTCTTAAAAAGCTTCAAATATCCTTATCTATTCTCCAATTATAATGGAAACAATTTCCTATTCAGAATAAATTCATCCTTGAAGCAAAACAAAGTCTGTCACATCTTCCTAAAATGTTATCAACTACTAGTACCCTGTTAGCATTCATGCCATTTCTTAACTGAAGAAGGAAACACAAACGTCCATGCCACAGGCCTTTAAGCTGTGTGAAGCTGTTTCTGCCTTGCTTCTCTCAAGCACTTCGTGCTATTTCAGTAAAGCTTGGACTTTATTTTGGTCCCTTTTTTCAAGCCAAGTTGCTACCAGTATAAAAAAACTGGAAAGAAAGCCTCTGCTGGGTAACTGGATTCCAGTCCTACCAACGCAGTAAACCACAACACCCTTAGTGTGCTGCCACTGACCGTGTTTCTCTTATTTCAGATTTAAACACTGTTCTCCTCAACCCTCAATTCAAGATGACCAGCATATCATAGTACTGACCAGAGACTGCACTTCATATATTCCACCAGACCCATCAAACTGAGCATTGATGCGCTATAAATAACACAATATCAGAGACGCACAAAAGCCCAAGCGACAGAGCCTTCACACTTCGATGGGGCATCCACAACCTGCTCTGTTGCCTGGAAAAGGCACACAGAAGAGGGAACCACCTTATTATTATATCCACTCAGGAGCTGTAGACCACCAGCACAGAAGACTCAAATATACTCAGGAGTGACAGGCGAGCAGAAGAGCAGGTCTGTCACCTCAGGGTCCACCCTGGGATGGAGCAAAAGTAAGGCTGTGTGGATGGACGTTTCCTTACCAGAAAACGCAAAGGAGGGCGTACTTCTGGCAGCAAGTCCTGACACAAAGCGAGACCGCTACCAACAAGCTTTCTTGAATCAAATACACATGCCTTGTAGCTGGGCATGCATGACTCGGCAGTGTTATGGCCAGAGGGAGGCCTCCTCAGCCTTCCCAAGCACAGGCACCCTCAGAACGATGCCACCCTTCCTTCAACAGCTGGCACAGACTACTGTTTCATTACTTTTGCTTAGGAACAGCGAGGTTTTGTATTGGAAATATTAGCTAACTCTACTTCCTTTTTCTTTGTTTCAATCTCAGTCTATTCTGGTGTAAACTTCAGTTTGAGTAAGAGGGGAAACAAAAAAAAAAAGAAGAGACGTCTAGTAACACCATTAAGTATATTGTGTACGCATAAAAAGCGCTCCGAGCTATTTTATAATCAACTTGTCAGAATACACACAAAAGGTTATATGCAAAAAGCCAACAGGCTCTTCAGAGATCATTCCCTTCCATGTACAATTCAGCCCTGATCTGTATTCCCACACTTGACTCCAGTTAGGAAAATAGCTGTTGCTGTGCTTTGGCACTACTACAAACACCTGGCTTGGCCAGGATTTCAGTCTTCCCACTCATAGATGCTGAGGGAGCCATTTCAGACACATGTGCATGTGTGTCTGTACGTATGTGTAAGGAAGAATCTGAATTCACACCAAAATCCTGTTCATCTCCACATGGTGACTGATTTCACAAAGACTACCCTGACTCTGGCTCTTATGTTTTGCAGACAACCTTTTATGATAACCATTTATTTAGGAAACATACCTTTTATCTGTACAATTTTTAACTCACCTTGTCCCTCCCCATATTATTAAACGTCAAGAAGCACAAAAGCCATTAGGGATTCGTTGTCTTGCAACGATCAACCGATTCAGATGTTTGGTTGCATTTCATCCATCCCTGGGCTGGTGGGCTGCCAGGGCACAGTATCAATGCAAAGATTCTGATAGGGATATTTATGGTCCCAAACACTTCTAAAGCTCACCAGTGCGGGGCTTAACTTCGGCACATCACTTACTGAAAAATTTGGCTTATGGATTGAAATTTCTCACTGCATGGCAGCTAAAAATCAATATTCACCACCTTACAACCTAATAACTAGCAATAACGTAACAGCATGGAATCACAATTTAGATCTATAGCAAGCAACTGATTTTCTTGGACTGCCATTAAACAAAAGATACCATTACGTAACCGCATAGTTCTGGCTTCCCTGAATACATCCTTTTTTTGTCCAATGAGAAATGCAGTCTATTGAGGTTACTCTGCGAGAAGTCTAAGAACTTATATGCTGTTTTCTCATGTTTGTAAGACACACAGAGCTCTGCCAGCTTGTAACCACCTGGCTACAGAACTTCTGGAAATGTTGAAGACAGCCAGCGTTTCCAACGTGCCTCGTAAGGGGCTGCTGCGCACCAACCACACAGCTGCTTTGTGCACCCGTATAGTAGAGGTCTGTTACTTCCAGGACGCATCAAGCCAATCTACTGCTTTCGTGGCAGGCACGCTGCTTCTGAAAGCAGAAACTGTGCTGATGTAGTAAGTGTGAACAGAGAAACAGCCCTGCACTGACACTGCAGGGCCAAGGCTTTCCAGGGAAGCCAGGCAAAAAGTTGCAGGCAAATTCTGTGTCAAGTATAAAGGTTATGTAAAGCTACAGGGGAGAAACAGTACTGGAATGCTCTCATCCAGATGAAGAGCCATCATGCAACATGAAGTATTTCTGGAGAAAAGAATAAAATGCAACAAAAAAAAAATCCTACTTCAAAAAGAATAAAGGGATCAGATGGATATTGGAGCCAGATTTCAAAGCCTCAAAACAGCCAACAACTCAGATTACAAGCTTTTCTCAGCTCTGTGGCTCCCCCTAAACTCTCACACACAAACAGGGTTATTCCCCATGCCTAATTTTTAAGACCAGGAAAAACACAAAAAGGATACAAGAAACAAAATTCACCCTAAATACTTGAAAGGCAAAACACGTTGGCGGTGTTTTGTTTAGATTTGTTTGGGTTTGTGCATTTGTTTTTTTTAAACAACTGAAACGTCTCTTTCCGGTTTAACAACTAGCATATTATGCTACTACACAAACTCCTCTCTTCACCAGCTAAGCACGCACATTGATCTCTTCACGCCACCATACAGCAGAAAGATTACATGCTTACAGGTACGCACTAATTTATTCAGCAGCTTCCCACATCCTGCAGGAAAAATGCAATTCTTCTGCCAACAAAGCACCGATGACTTTCAGGTTTAGGCCATTTTTATCTTCCATCTGCCTCGTGCTGCCTTCTCCGCACTCCACACGCGTGTTTGATAACAAACAACGTGCTCTTGAAAACGGATCAGAATGCAGAAGGCACAAGGCAGCTTTGAGCTTGCCATTTCTTTGCGCCTTAACAAAGGACTAGCCTAGTAAATACGAACCACCCGCCTCGCTCTCATCTGTATTTTTAAGAAGAATGCAAATAAACAAACATACAGTCTTGCTTACATAGGTAAGTACTCATTTACATTTCCCTTGCTTTATGAGGTATAGAGGTCAGCCACATGACAAAAAACAAGAAAATCAACATGTGTGCATCAGCCACAGTACCTTTCCCCCAAAGTCCAGGCTGCAGAGAAGCTGCCATAGTAGCAGCTGTGCGCACTTACAGGGTCACAATAATATCCATTTTCCCAAAGAAATAAATCAAGATACAGAATTTCCTTTTTTTTCAATAAAACATTATTATCTAGGGGCGCAGTGGCAACGTTCCACACATCTGGATCAGCCTCCCAGAATTACTCAACAGTGACTCACATATCAGTCTGCCTTTCAGTTTTTGGGATTTTTTTTTTTTTTAAATCCCTTTCCTTGCAAATCCTTTTACAGTATCCATCTTCCATCACTACAACCAACTGTATCCATTTATATACCATCCCAGCTACTCTTTTTGATGCTAAGAACAACAGGTAATGAAGAAATCTACAGCAACAATGAACACATTTCAGCAGCTGGCGGCTGCTGTGCTTCACAATGGATAATGGCACAGCACTATGTGCTTGAGAAAAGTGAAACAAAAAAGTTGACCCCTAAAACCAGCTTATGGTACAGCATTTATGTTGTGTTTAAACGAGCAGAGTCCTGGGAGAATATCGGCAAGGAAGCATCTAACAGAAAACTGATGGGGGAGCTATGTACTCACATCTAGAGCTAAAAACTAATTCAATCCTGACCTTCTTCAAAGACCAACTGCCTCCTGCGTTTACTTCAAGTGCAAAGCAGATGTTTCACATCCAAAACCCTCTCATCCTTATCCTCTACAAGGTTTTGCTGAAGAAGCTACTTTGAACACTATACTTCCCCACCAAACAGTCCGTTTCTTGATGTAGGGTGACAGGAAGTAAGACACATACTCTGACATCCTGTGATCCAAAGACTTTCATTTTTTTCACCTAGTTTCAACACTGAGAAGATTTAACATGAGCTCTAAACAGAAAATAAGTAATCTACAGTTGTCAACATTTGCCACTGTCTTTAACCAAAACCCCATACTGAAGTCCTTATTCTTGCTCTATTCCACCCTTTCCCATGAGCTTATAAATTTGTATGATCTGTGTTTTGAATCACAGCAGAAAAGTGATCCGGCTGAAAATTAGGTGTGTTTGGCTGAATTTTCTTTTTCCTGGTCTAACAGTTCAACCTTTAAAGACAACTAAAAATTGCAAACATGAGGCAAACCGTCGTCATCAGATAAGCTCTTCAGGCTGTGAAGAACTGACAGTATACAAGATCAAAATGCAATGTGTAAAACAGAAAGAAAACAAAGTCTCCCTGGGCAGCAGTGTTGCCTTAAGTAGCCTTGTGCTTCTGCCATGCGTTTCAGCCTCCTGATCCGTGTCTGTCTAACCATGTGTCCAACAACTCAGTTAACTGACTGGAGAGCTGGCTGGATTAAAAAAACACCCAAAACAAAACAAACAACACAAGTCCCCCTCCCTTCCCTGAAATGCTCTCCTTTAGCTGTATCAGTTCTCTGATCTGACCCTCCCCCCTTCCCCGTGACTGAACAAGCATGTGTCCTTGAACAACAAAGGAGGTAGAGGCTGCTTGTGAAAGTAAAGAAAAAATATCTAATAAAACAACACATTTTAAAAATCCATAAACAAAACAACCACCCTATCTTAGTCCTCAACCCGCAGCGAATTACAAACCAAACTTCATCATACAATAGGGGTTTCATGACTTTCTATGGCAACAATATTGGTGCTGAGGCTTAAAGTTACGACCACGACTTAGCAGCAGTTTTACCTCTTTAACGTGTGTGTGAAAGGACACGGACATGTCCAGCAGGATCTTGCGTTGCTCCACACGCCTAACAAAATCCTGTATCCGGTCTTCGAGCTGATGGGCAGCTTGATAGATTTCCTCCGGGTCACACTCCCCAGTCTGAGCGAGCTGTTCAGCTGCTTCTAGGAGCTTATCTGCATTGGTATACGTGTTCTGTAGAGAAAGGCATTCGTTTCGCAGGATTAAATGAAAGAAAATGCAGTCAGTACATTTTAAAGCCACTCCACTAATGAAAACAAAAAGACAAAAAGGCCCCTGGAATGTACTTTTTTTTTTTTTTTTAAGGTAGTAGAATATAATCTTACTGAAGATTTTATTATATTTCTAGATACTTTTTAATTTAACTGTGAAAAAATTAATTCCTTAGCTCCTTTTTTATGTCAATTTAAATGTCTCCTCGATCCAGAACTTGGAAGCCTATTTATTCTTCCTTGAAATCAGTATTTTATAGTCATAGCTGCAATAAAGATCAGCCTAAATGTCAAATCTGAACATCCGGCAGGAAGATGGAAAGTAACCAGACACAGAAAGAGAAAATTTCTCTCCATCCGTATAGAAGTGAGGTATCCAAAATTCACACGTCAAGTGGATCATCATTTGTGAAACAGCAGCAACAGAGGAAGAGTTAGAAGTCAGCTATGGCTGAGCATCAGAATGGAATGCTGTCCCAGTACGTCATAGGATTAAAAAATGCAGATCAGCAGTCCTGTAAGAGACAGGGGTCAAAGCAGAAAACAGAATGTGAAGAGGCTGGCACCTGATGTGCTGAGTGTGCTATGGTCCAGAGAAGATCCCCTCTGAAAATTTAACTTCCAGCTGCATCTATATATTTCTCATTATTTCAAAATGGGACTGATTCCAAACATATGTTATAGTGTGGGTGCTCTTTTTGAGCCTAAGCTTGGGTTTTCATGCCTTAGAATAGTTCTCTAAACAGACTAATCAAAAAAGCACAGAAGGATGTTAACCTCTGGAGAAAACAGACTGAAGCCAAGTCTGCACTAAAGAAGCTCTGCTTATGTCACCACATTAAGTCTCCTGACAAGTTTGCACCCAGGCGATAAAGAAAAAAAATCTTGACAATATAAACTACACCTTCCTCTTTTCCCTCCTGCCCTTCCATCTTCTCCCAACCTCAGTTATGTCAGGTAAAAACGCTGCTTGCCAAGATAAATTAAGCCTATGCAAATGAACTTTTCTTTGCCATAAATATAGTATCACACCTCTAATTAAGATTATAATATCCACAAAAGTTAAATCCAAGCCCAGCCCTAAAACTCAACTAAAGGGCAGGAAATAAGAGCTGTCCTGCAGGGACTCCATCATTACCAGGCAAGCCCAGGACAGATTACATGACTCAGTGCAGCTGTCATATCTGGGGGGAGTTCCCCCTTCATTTCTTATGATCTATTTATGTAAGGAATTCAATCCATGCGGCTTCTTGATTTCAACTATGTGCATCTCAGCCCTTCCTTAACCTTCAGCTTTTTAATTGCACGGAGAGGTAGAGGACTCCTCCCCAGTTTTCCCTGGGAAAGCCATCTGAGCCTTCCCTTTTCAGCGGGGACCGCGCTACTCAGCGCTCCAGGCCGCTGGCCCAGAACACACTCTGATCTGAGCTTCAGTGTTTTGACTTCCACGGTCGCAGCTCACACATGTTCAAGGGGCAAGGCTGAAGAGCCTTAAGGCGCTCCTCAACAACAACTACTTCATCAGCCCGGAGCACCACACCCAGCTGCAGATGGCTGAAACAGAAGTTTCTCATTTTAATGAAAACTTTGTCTCACATGTGAAGCATTGTTTATGAATTCCAGGAGTATCTTCCGCGTAACACAGGCCCAGGCACATCATACCTCTCTTTCTGTAAACGGGATGGTGAACTGCCTGTACTTAGAAATGATCATAACCTAAATGCTGCTTCAAAAGGGGTTACAATTCTCAAGCTTTAACAGAGAGACATATGCCTTATCACTAAAATTTCTATTCTGAGTAGAGCTGAAGTATAATATAAATATTTATCTCAGCAGGTAACAACTGCCCTTGGAGTAATCACAGCCAATAGGTTTGCTGTACTAACTACTGCCTTTCCCAACTCTCGTGCTTCCTTCTAAACAATGCTTGGAGGGGAAAAATGTAGTAATGTGAAATTTTAAAAATGCTGGTCCCAAAGGACAGCCACCAGGTAGAAAACAGAAGGTTGGGCAGGAACTGTAGGTATTCGTTGAAGCTGCTTATGCCAGTTGACAAAATGAGCCTTCACAGTGACAAATTCAAATATTTTAAAAATGGATTAAAACTTACTCAGAATTTCTCCACTAATACACCCTCCAAAAATCCCAGGGGGAAAGTATCAGCCTGGTAAGTCCTCTAGTCCACCCCTCTGTGTCCCAAGGCATGATCAACTATACCAGTCTTTAATAAGCATTCCTCTCCACAGTGCTGAAAAACTGCCTGTAACAGAGCTCACCATCCCCAACATCATACCCCATCTCTTTCCTAGTCTTCCCGCTGAGAAACCTTCTCTACATATTCTTCAGAAACAAGAAACACCGTATTTTTAGAAAGCATATGAAGTGACACATCACAGAAAAGTCAAAGGTTAAATTTAAGAGACTAGTGCAGACATGGAGTACTAGTGACAATAAACACAGCAACAGCAGTGAGTGGAGGTATGGGCTGAGTATCACACAAACCGAAGTTTATTACCCTGTGGAGGGGGAAGAGAGACACAGATATGGATGGAGGGAAATCAACAGGTATACAAATCATTAAAGGCAGAGAAAGTGAAGATAGATTACTCATTAAAAACAGTGGATGTTATCACGTTTAAGCATCAGACAACACACTTAAAACGAAAAAGTGAAAGTACTTTTCATCTAAGGGGCAATTAAATTGCACAACTCATTGCCACAGGATCTGGCATATATTCCAAAAGCATGGACGGGTTCAAAAGCAGCTAGCCTAATGAAGGGAAGAAAAGTCCACTGGTGACTGTTAAACACTGGTTCTGATGCATCCTTCAGCTCCAGACATCAAATAGGCCCAGACAACTGGGAAGGTAAAGGAAAGTTTTTAATCATAGGGCCCCTTTTCTTTGTGCATCTGGTGATGGCCACAAGATACTGTAAGACACGGACCTTGAGTCTGATATATTACAGCCACTCACGGATAAAGAACCAGCTCAAATACATAACCCTTTTTTACAGCCTTAAAGGATGTGGGAACTGGTGGTGGTAGGGAAATGATAGTTGCATTCAAACAAGGTTGGGAAGAATCTTTCTTGTGTGACTCTTGCACCAAGACAACTTGAGTTCTTTGCTCAGATGCAGTCTGCAGGTGGAGGAAAGAAATTACGTGTGGAAAAAGATCCCACTAATCAATTCTTGCCATACACCTTTCAAGTTTTTTGAGCATAGAATACTGTCAGAAAGCAGGCACCAATCACAGTTGAAACAAGAGAAGATGACTTAGGATTCCGTACAAAAATGCACAGGGAAATATAACCACACTACTGATCTGCATCCCGTGTTTCTAAGCTGAAACCCATGCCCATAAGTGAACCAGTTATGTCAAAATTTGGAGTCTTGACACTTTTACTAAAGGGTCTCATGGATACAAAGATGATCATGGGGAGAGGGGAAAAAAAGAAAGGACAAAAAAAGGGTAAGCAGAAAGTGAACTGGACAGGCTTCACATAAAAAGAGCAACTCAGTTTTACAATGGGGGGTGCAAGTCAAAGCTCGTATGTATAGCACGGATGTCCATACGTCAGAACTTAGGGAGGATTATTAGTTGGCTGAGTTTTGACTATCTAGTGCTTCTGTAGTGGTAACAAAAAGCGCCAAATAAAGAGAAACAAGACTTCATGTCACACAAATTTTAAAGTGAATAATTTGTGAGCCCACAGCTCATTGACTGTGGAACAACTTTCCTATTTGACACACAGCTGATTTCAACATCTCTCTGAATGCTGCTGAGGAATTGGCACCTCATTCATGGTAAAAAAAAAAGGGTGAGGGAGAAAGCAAAAGGGAAGAAAAAAAAAATAATAATTGTTTGCTCCCCCCAAAATCCACAGTCAGCCTTAGATCAGGAACATTTCAACATTGGTGCTGGCTCCCTGCATTTGATAAAATACTGCCATGCCACTGACAATTCACTTGACACTGCTCCCTCTCAGCTTCTGACCAGAGTTGACTTAAACCCCTAATTATGCCTGGGGTCCTATTAAAAAAAAAACCAAACAAACCAAAAACCCACAACACAAAACCAAACAGCAAAACAAAACGCAACAAAAAACCCAAACACAAAGACCTGGACCAAACAGAAAATGTAGGTAGAGAATAAATCAGCTGAAAGTTATTCATGCTTTAACAAGGACTGCAGATTGCTGTCTTACACTTGAACATAATCTTCCTCATA